TGGAAAGATGACGTCTTTGGTTCGATTTACCGATTTGAACAATTTGATTATTTGTGAGATTGATTTGATGTAGTTTTGTGCGTAAGTGTAATGGGTTCTGTTTGAAACTATAGATCTGGGATTTCATGGTTTGCTTATTTCGGGACATGCATGGAAGTTAACATGTGCGGAGTATACATAAATGTTTGTAGGATTTGTTTTTTTTGTGTGTTATGAGTAGTGCAAATGAGGGTTTAAAATTGTTGGTTTTGCTTCTGCTTCTACTTAGCATATCGGGGTAGTTCCAAAATTGAATAAAAAAAAAAAGTAATTGGACCCGTGAACCCATCTCGAACCGGCCCGTTTGAAATAGGTCGGGTTAGGTCCGGTTCCCAAACTCAAAACCCTTCTACCCAGCCCGGCCTGTTGTATTTTAAAACGGGTAGGGCTAGGTTTCTCCAAATTCAGGCCCGACCCGGCCCGTGCCCAGCCCTAGTTGTAGGTACTTGTTTGTGGCACGATAACGTATCATTTTATAGCGCCTCATGTACTCATTTATAAAGATATTACCAGTTCTTAGATTGAAAGGGAAATTAGGTCCATCATATATTTTTGCACGATCCTTTCTTGACCTATTTGGATCTTCTTGGTCGTCATCAAACTTTTCATCAATATACCTATCTCGCTCATCCTCCACTATCATATTGTGTAACATGATGCAAGACATCATGATGAAGTCCAAATTTTCTCGACTCCACCCTCTTGCCAATTCGCTGATGATCTTCCACCATGTTTGTAGAATACCGAAAGCTCTCTCAACGTCTTTCCGATATGCCTCTTGGTGTAAGGTAAACAACTTTTCCGCGTCATTCCTAGGGTTTGGAATTGCTTGGACAAGTGTTGCCCACTTTGGGTAGATGTCATCTGCCAAGTAATACCCCATATTATATTGACGGTCGTTGATGTAGTAGTTAAGTTGAGGTGCTTTACCTTTTGTTAGGCGATTGAAGAGAGGTGAACGCCCAAGAACTGTAATATCATTTTGGGATTCAGTGACTCCAAAGAAAGCATGACAAATCCATGTATCATATGAGGCAATTGCCTCTAACACAACAATTGGTTTTCTCGACCTTCCGCTAAAGCCTCATTTCCATCTGGTGGGACCCGAAAACCCACGGTCTTCAGCTTTGCTAATGAGCCGATTCATATCTTCTTAATTTGGCTCGCAAAGGTACTCATCTTTGTAAACCTGAACAATTGTGTCACATAATTGTTCAAGAGTATCAATGCATGTAGACTTAGACATACCATGGGTTTCATCTATCGAATCAACTGGAGAGTCATAGGCCATCATTTAGAGTGCAACAGTAACCTTCTAATGAGGTGAGAAACCAGGGCGACTTGCTCTGTCCCGCTTCTGTCGAAAGTATGGACTGACCTGCTGGACATCATGAAGTAAATGCTTGAAAACATGACACCTCATCTGGATGTGACATTTAAAATCCTCTTATATGTACACCGAGTTGAGGTTGAAGTAGTTGTTCATCAGATTAGCATGCGTCATCGCTTTGTTTCGTGGTTTGTAAAAGTGACCAGCAATGGAGCCACCCCATTGAGGTTGTTCCTCAATTGGCTGACACATTATGGCCGCAACCATGGCTACTGTTCTGTTTTGTTTGTTGCGCCTTACTTGAACTTCTTCATCATACTCCTTATCTTCTCGTCTCATTTGCGCCCATTATTCTTCCAATTTGGAATTGGATGAGGACCCCCAGTTGGAATACGAAGAGGATCCAAAGTTGGAATTCATTGCAAACTTGAATTGAAAGAGATTGAATTAAAATAGATTGAATTCAAAGTTGTGTGAATTATAGCCCAATATCCACCCTATTTATAGCAAAAATAAAATCCAACGGCTAGCTGACGTCACTTAGCCGTTGGATTTGAATTTAAGTGGTAGTTTTTAAATAATAAATTATGTTTGGCCTTTTGGCTCTCGGTTGGAGACGGTTTTTTATGACAGAGCTAAAACGAGTCATATGGGCCTTTAACCCTCGATTGGAGACGGAGGCAAATATTACCATGTATTGTTCATTAAAATATTAATATATTGGAGGACCAGAGGGCTAAAACGAGCCATCTGGCCAGCCCTCGATTGGAGATGACCTTAAGTTAACCAAACAAAAAACTTCACAAATTCTAAAAAATAAAATTTCATCATTTTAAAATTCTTTAGTAATCTTAAATTTCCTCATCCAAACTTTTGTCCTTAGTTCTTGATTGCTTTATCAGTAAACTTAAAATTTAACGAATTAAAAACTTAAATATGATTGAACTATTTAGGTGGTCATGCCACTCGAAATAAGATCCTCTCCGGATCCATTCCATTCAGATTTTTCAGATTCTTCAATCATATCCGTTCAATCAAAAATGAAAAGTCGGGAATTAATTAACTTTTTTTTGTTCATCTTCTTTCTTCTGCTCACTATTCTCTTCTCTCCCTATATCGGAGGACTTGATTCCAGTTTTGGGCAACTAAAGATCGGAAACGATGGTGTAGGCATGATGGGTCGGCTGTCGGAGCCAGAACCCATCGAAGAACGCAAAAAACCAAAGAATTCAGAAGATCCAAATGAAAGAGATTAGGAAAAAATCTCGACCCGTGTCACTCTAGCAAAAGAGTGGCAATAGACTACAAGAACACTAAAAAAATATAGTATGCATCGAATCTACTATCTACCAAAGTTTTGGACTCATTTCTTAATTACCTAATCATTAAACTTACAATTTAACGAATAAAATTTTGGTATATAAGATATACAGGAGCATATATATATATTCTAGGCTTTTTATTCAAAATGGTCCCTGAGATTTGCATCATCCATAAGTTTGGTCCCTGAGATTTAAAATCAATAGAAGTAGTCCCTGAGATTGTCCACCATCCATGATTTTGGTCCTTCCGCTGAAGCTTTTGGCCGGAAGTTTGGGTAATTTTCAAAGCTTCGTAACTCAATCGTTTCTTAACCAAATTCGACCCATAATATATCAAAATGAAGATAGGAAAGTGTAGAATAAGATTATATCTATTTGGAAGCCTAATGATTGCTGGAGATGATCAGAAAATAGCCTCAAAGTTGACTGGTCCGAGGGAAAACTGGAAAACTTGCCAGAAACTCGCCGAAAACTGGGTAAATTTTAAACGTTCATAACTTCTTCAATACTCAACGAAATCAAGTGATTCAAAAACGAAAATCATACTTCTAAACAAAAAGAAGAGAATGGTACCTTTTTTAATGGCTAACTCGCCGTGATTTGATCGGAAACCGGCTAGAAAGTGGCTGTTGAAAAACGAGTCGGCAACTTTCGAGCCTTTTTCCGGCCAAACTACGGAAATTTAGCAATTGAAAAAAGGTACCATTCTCTTCTTCTCGTTGAGAAGTATGATTGTTGTTTTTGAATCACTTAATTTCGTTGAGTATTGAAGAAGTTATAAACGTTTAAAATTTACTCAGTTTCCGGCGAGTTTTCCAGTTTTTCCTCGGACTAATCAATTTTGAGGCTATTTTCCGACTATCTCCAGTAACCATTGGGCTTATAATCTTATTCTATACTTTCCTATCTTCATTTTGATATATTATGGGTCGAATTTGGTTAAGAAACGATTGAGTTACGAAGATTTGAAAATTGCCCAAACTTCCGCCAAAAGCTTCAGTGGAAGGACCAAAATCATGGATAGTGGACAATCTCAGGGACTACTTCTATTGATTTTAAATCTCAGGGACCAAACTTATGGATGATGCAAATCTTATGGACCATTTTGAATAAAAAGCCTATATTCTACTAATATAATTTAGTTATATACAATTTTGAGCAGATTCTTTGTGAGAACATGCCAAACCGAAATTCCTCTCATTTTTTTATTATGTATTTATTCAAAGATTATGTCTACAAAAAATTACTCAAATTTGAAACCATATGACTCTTGTATTAAGGGTTTAGGGTTTCTTTATAGAACTGTATTTATCTATTTTCTTCACTACAAATAAATGTCTTAATGATTTTTGAATTGTCTAATTTTTTGCTTAGATGATCTATGAAGATCTAAAAGATAAACAGTTCGGATTTTTAAAATGCATTACAAAATAGACCCCAAAAAAGTGTGTGTCAAAAATTATGTAAAAAATGTAGTGTAAATACAAAACCAAGCAAACCAAAAATAGTGTGGGTCAATAATGTACGTTGTAACACCAACCACACCATCCCGTCAGCGATGCTGCTCCTTGTGGCCAAAAAAGTCATCTTTCTTTTCTCAATTTCTCTCATCTCTCTTTAAATAAGCGGAGCGAATCAATTCGCCATAAATTAAATTTAAGAAATATGGTTAGACCTTAACACTAAGTGATATTTTTTTTTCAAATTAAATGATCCAAAAGTTTTTTTTTTATAACTTTATTCTTGTCGTAATATCATATGTGGAGAGCCTATATAGATAGTTTGCAATTATTCATCCAAAGAAAAATCAGATCGATTATTATTCAAATGAAGAAAACCGGATTAGTTACTCTTCATGCACACTATTTCACTATTCATTTGAGAAAAGTTTGTAAAGTGAATAGTATTGCTATAGTAATCTTTTGCCAATAAAACGAGAGCATACATAGGAAGTGAGAAGAAGAAGAAAGAGAGGAGAGAAAAACACAGAGAGGAAAGAAAGAGGAGTTATGGAGTAGAAGGGAGAGAAGAGGAAAGAAGAGAGATGCAGAAGAAATTACTAGTGAGCCAGAATAGAGAAAAAAGAGAAAATAGTGAGAGTTATTTTGTATTCCTATTATTTTAGATAATGAAAAAAAGAATTATTATTGTCCCAATGATGTAGGCACATTTGCCAAACTTTGTAAATATTATGTCTTATTTACTTTATTTCACTGTACACATATCGTCGACTTCACATTAATTCCAAAATTAAAATAATTTTCCTTATTTATTTATTTATTCCTGAAGGTGCTCTTTCTCTTGTGATCTGACCAAACATATAAAAAGCTTCAGCCTTGGGCATCTTGAGGCATCTTTCCCCCATTTCTTCTGCCCTCCTATCTTCAAGGACTGCTCTCTCTCTCTCTGCAGCTTCACTTTGCTTCCTCTCAGCCCACAGATCTCTCTCTCTCTCTCTCTCTCTCTCTCTCTCTCTCTCTCTAAAGCTCAGATCACTGCCAAGCAGGTACTCCAGATTCCTCTCTCGAATCCAACTTTCTTTATGTTTACAGTTGACTGCCTCTGCTGGTTAATTTCATATTTTATTTTATTTACTTGTCAACATATTATAGTGATTTGATCTGTTAATATCATGTTTTCGCAATTAAATCTCATCATTGCTTTTGGTGTTGGTGCTAATCAATTTCTGTGCTGTTCGTATTTTTCTAAATTAGGGTTCATAAGGTTGTAATTAGATATTGTTTTGTTTATCAGTATGATTATTAAGTTCTGGGCTGCTTCAGTTTTTCAGATGACCCTTTTTGTTGTTTGGTCAAGTTCACTTGGTCTGCTCCATTTGGGTTTTATTGGGATTACCATAACATGAATAAATACTTCTGGGTTTTCGAAATTGCTTGTAATCAGTTTGCGAATTTCCGCAATTTGAGCATGTATTAGTTCCTAATGTGTGGTTTGTATTATTGTGATGTTACACTTAGGTACTCGAAACAATTTTAGCTCGTAGTACTTGGACTTATGAGCTCAAAGACAAAGCCTTTTGCTCTTAGTGCTTGTAGTACTTGGACTTAAAGTGTTCGTGTCGTGCGTACTTATCAGGTTATTAGAGTTTCGTAGCATAGCTATTACGACTCTTTGCTAATTTTCTGATTCTCTTGTTACAAAAACGATATCCCAAATGTGTCATTGGTTATGCCCGTATATTCATTATCAAATCTTACTAGACCTTTTACTGCTTTAATCTGCCTTATGTTTTCAGTGTATTGATTGTTTTATTGGTTGGTTATGATTTTAATGTGTGGTTGTGATATTATACTTGTGATTGAATCTCCTAAACTGTTTTAGGCTTTTAGCTCATAGTAATTTAACTTATGAGCTCAAATACAAAGCCTTTGCACTCTAATCTGGCGCTTACAGTGCTCCTGTATGCTTATCCTGTTATAAGATTTTTGTATTGTAGTTTTACTTTGCTACTTTGCTGATTATCTTGTTACATATACGATATTCACAATGTATCTCTTTCTTTTTGTCTCTTGTTGTTATTGTAATTTTCTTTTAACATCTTAGTAGTTTCGTCAATATATTCTTTTACTACTAGTACATATTTTAAACTTTCCGTAGATAGTCATGCAGGAAGCGACTCCTGCCCCTGCTCCCAGTGCCCAACTTGTTGGCAATGCCTTCGTGGAGCAATATTACCATATTCTTCACCAATCTCCACAGCTGGTGCATAGGTTTTATCAGGATTCGAGCTCACTAAGCAGGCCGGATACCAAGGGCAATATGACAACAGTGACAACCATGCAAGTATGTATTCTTTCGTTCATATATGTTCATGATGCAGTTTCTACTTCAAGGCCTTAGATACGTTGGAATATGCTCATGATTCGGTTTTGACAGAAAGATTATTTTCATAACAAGTTTCGAAATTTGACTTTTCGTTTTTGTATGGCTTAACATGAATTGGGCAACTTTTTTTCTTTACGTTTCCAATTCAGTTTTTCACTTTAATGCATTAAAGAAGTTTAATTTGTAGCAAGCATGTAGAAAAATATATATTTTACAATGGTTGAACATGAATTTGGCAGCTTTTCCATAATACATTGTTGTATTAAATTTTTCTTTAAGTGCATGTTGAACAAACATGGACAGGATGTCTATTTGATGCTTCCAAATTTAGACATTTATGGACCAATTATAACCGGCCTAAATGGTAACATTTTTTATATGATTGGTGGCTGATTCAGATGGCCAGTGCTCTAGTCATGAAATGATGAAAGTTTTGGTATATTGCATGTTGAACATGTTACAGTATAAAAAGCGAGGCATTTAATGAATCAAATTCATGACCTTTTTCAGACCAAACTTTTTGTTTTAAAAATTTTGAAAAATTCTGCATCACTTCTTGGCCTTGGATATAAACTGAATTGAGAATCCTGAATTTTTATTATAAATGATAATTATTGATGATAAATATTACATTTGTTAACATTGCACTATCTATTGGAACAGGCAATAAGTGAAAAAATTCAGTCCTTAAATTATGGAGACTATACGGCAGAAATAAAAACAGCAGACTCTCAAGAGTCTTATGAGAAAGGGGTGATTGTTCTTGTGACTGGATGCTTGACTGGAAAGGACAATGTGGGAAGAAAATTCGCACAGACATTCTTTCTAGCTCCACAGGAGAAAGGTTACTATGTATTGAATGATGTTTTTAGGTATATTGAGGACAACGAATCATTGCCGACCGATACTGCCTCAGTCAATGGCGTCAATGAAAGTGCTCCAGAAGCTATTGTGACAGCAGATCCAGGTTAACATTAGTTTTCTTTCTTCCTATACCTTTTTGTGATTTGCTTTGCCTTTCATTTTCAAATTGCTTTTATGTTTGTCCAGAGCCTATTCACGCTCCCGATCATCTTGTGGTGGACCCTGCTACTCCCTCTGAGGAAGAAGATCTCAATAATGGTGCTGAAGTTTGTGATCCTTCAGATAATGACGAAGGATCGGTTGTTGAAGATGAGCTTGTGGAGCCTGAGCCCCCAGCTCTTGCAAGTCAGAATAGAGGTCTTGCAGAAGTTGAACCAACCCCTGATCCTGCCCCTGAAACTCAGGAGGATGCTCCAAAGAAATCATATGCATCAATTGTGCGTTAAGGCTCATAGTTGACGTTTTTAGGAGAAAGTATTTTTACTTTTCGCGTCAACTGATTTTGGCGTGCTTTTACTTTTCAGCTATTGGAGAAAAGCACAGCCAGTCCTGTCCGCGTGGTTTCCCGTACTGTGAGGACAGTATCTGCAAACAGTGATCATCAATCCGCTGGTCCTGCAAAACCATTTCCTGCGCCAGAGGCATCAGCTCCTATAGGTGACGCTGCCCCTGAAAGCAGTAACACTCATGAGGAAGGTAAATAATACTGAGCTTTCTGCCTTTGTTTACTCTCAAACAAAAATAGTACTCATCTTTCAATGGTTGGGTTGCTCAGTTAACTACCTTAACACTCGCCTGAGTTTTGGGCTCGCATTTACTCTTTCATGAATGATGCATGATCTGTTAGCTATTTATTGTCATGCAAACAGCAAGATCAAACTTATTCGTGTTATGGGTTATAATCTAATCTACAATTTATTCTTTACAGCACCTGAAGGTTACTCCATACATGTACGGAATTTGCCGTACGATGCAACAGTGGGACAACTTGAGAAGGAGTTCAAGAAGTTTGGGCCTATTAAGCGTGATGGGATCCAAGTCAGGAGTAGTAAGGTATTCTTCGTTTGTATAATTCACTTCCTGATCCAACTGATAATTCTTTGGTGTAACCTTACAGTTCATATATTTGTCTTTCTAGCAGCAAGGATTCTGTTTTGGCTTCGTTGAATTTGAAAGCTTGAGTTCCATGCAAAGTGCACTTGAGGTAATGTGCTTCACTTTCATATTCCACTTGTCAAATTCCAAGGGCCTGGTTTTTAGCCTACAATTAGTGTTCCAGTTTGGCTCGTTTAGTTCAAAACTGTAGATATATTATAGTCATTTATATTGGCTCGAGGACATTTTGTTTTGTATTTTCGGTTAGGAGGGGCCACAAGGCCCAAAGATAATTTGCTCATTAGCATTAACATGAAGACATCTTTGTTTTCTTGATAAAAAACAGCATGGACACTAATTTGGAGTTGAAAATGGAGGTATTGTCCCTCGTGAATATCTACTGGTGTCCCTAGAATCCTAGATCTGTTGTTTGAGTGATAGAAAATTATAATCTCCAGTGTTTTTTGTGTTTACAACCTCACTGGAATATAAGTGCAGTTTGATTGGATTCTCATACTAAAGTGTTTATTCATAGTTGTGGGTGCCATTTTATGTTTATGTATCTTGTATCATTGTATGTTTATTCAATTGTGAGCTCGTTGAAAATCATTGCAGGCCTCACCTATCACCATCGGGGATCGCCTAGCAGTGATTGAGGAAAAGAGAACATCAACTCGAGGTAAGCTGGGGTTTATAGAAGGTTGCTAGGTAAAAGATAACTCCTCTTAAATAGTGTTAAGCTAACGAAACTTCTGGTTGTTCAGTTAGTAGTGGTGGGAGAGGGAGGTTCACTTCAGGAAGAGCTGGCTATCGGAATGACAATTTCAGGGGTCGTGGGAACTATGGTGGTGGTGGCCGTAGCTTTGGCAGGAATGAATTCAGAAACCAGGGTGAGTTTTCTGGGCGAGCCAGGGGCTCGGGAGGACGCAGTGGAGATGGTTATCAGCGGGGGAGTTCCAATGGAAGAGGTGGGCGTCAAGGTGGGGGAAACCGCATTGCCTTTCCCCCTACTTAATGTTTTTTGAGAGAAAGTGGTGGATAGACAATTTTTTTGCACACAAGAGGGTCACTATTTCTTCCCTTTCTTTTCCTTCAATTGCAATTTGTCGGATAAAAGAGTTGTATTGAGCTATTAGAAACTTAGGTTTTTTGTTAAATTTCGAGTTTCTGCGAAGATTCATGTTTTTTCCCCTTCCTTTTTTGGATAACCTATGTTTATCTTTAGATTATTTTCGTAGAGCTTACACGGCATGAGCAAGTTGTGTTAGTTCAACGTACTTCTATGAATCCAGATCTATATATTTATGTTATTTCGGTCATGAAATTTCTCATCTCCATTTTTTCATAGATATATCTAAAGCATTCACAGTTACACAAAAGGGCCAAAATAATGATGGTCTCGTCCCAAGTGAGGAGACGAGCTTTCATGCAACAAAAATGTCACTGTGTCGGTATGCCAAGCCAAAAACGCACGATAGTGCATGATTGGCTTAGGACATCGTCACTGTGGCATCTCGGTGCAAGCAAGTTCTCTCTCCCGAGATAGACCAAGCTCATCAAATTTCAATTTGATTTCTGCAAGCTGGATACAAGATTTGATGCAGCAAAAGCAGCTGAACCACCAGCTACTGCAGCCAAAGCAACAACAGCTTGTAACCCTATCTCCAAGGGAGAATCCTCAGGCACAAGATAAACAACAAATGGACCCAAAACCAGCAGTCCTAAGCTTAAGCTCAGCAATGCCCCGGGAGTTCCAGGGTCGGTGGCCGCTGACAGGATTCCGAATTCCTCCGCTTTGGAGAGCAACCCTAGCTTCTCTATCGTCGACAATGAGAGCCCGGACTTCTCTGCCGTGGATAGCAGGCCGGCTTTCTCCGCTTTGCTCAGTAGCTTCAGTTGCTCCACCCTTGTTAGTAGCTTCACAGATGAATTCTGCAATGCGTAAAGAATCCCACGTCGGAATACTAACCAAAGAAATTACGATATATATAACGAATGATTCTATTCTAATACCACCGAGGGCCGAGGCATTTTGTGATAAAACCCGACAAACATATTTTGAAGAGAAGAAGAAAAGTACCCACCTTCTTGGAGCTAAGTGTTTTGGTAGCTGAAGGCATGGGTTTCTGGGTAGCCATGGATTGGATGAGGAGGGGAGGGGAAGAAGCAAAGTTACCCCCTTTTGCCGCCGCCGCCGCTCTGAAAGTGAAATGCACGCCTCCTGCGCTGCTGCAAAATGCTCCGGCCTCCATTTTTCTCCCCCGCTTTGTGTCAGTGTGTCTTTAGAGCGATGATTGAATCTTTGAGGAAGGCTTTGGTTTGGGCTTAAATTAGTGGACAAGGAAGATCAGGTTCGTGTTTCCAAAAAAAGGAAGATCAGGTTCGTTGTATACGTGTCACTATGTGGACCGCTGGATGGAAAGAGAGAGGCTGGTAGACAGTAGCTTTCTACCTTTTTTTAGCTTTTTTTTTTCCTTTTTTTTTAATCTTTAAATTGAGTTTTTGTTTTTATATTTGTTATTTGAATCTAATTTCACATGATTTATAGTCCTCAAATAATCAAATTGAATAAATTAAATAAAAACAACAAATAAAATTAAATAATGACATATAGGAAGAGGAAAAAAATGTATGTTTATGAATTTTTATATCATATTATAAAAAGTCACATCATTTATTGACAGATTTAATTGTGACAACCTAACATTGAACTTAGATTCCCCAATTTTGTTGTATTAAACTGTTAAATCCAAAACATAGGTACTGAAAATTTTGATGAGTTAAAGTTGAGAGAGTTAAACTAAAATTGACCATGTCTTTACAATGCAATATTTTATTCTTAACCACTCTAATTAACTAATCATAAAGATTTATTCTCGAGTGTAAAATGACATACACACTGACTTGACCAATTAGACTCTAATTGTCTAATCGAATCAGGTACCAAACCTTTTTTTATATTACCCTATTTATCTATTTATTTATTTTTGAGCAGGCGATATTATTTACACTAAAGAGTAGGAGAAAGGCTAAGCCTCACAATGGCCGAGCTATAATAATGTGATTCAAATTTGGCGAAAATCGAACCCAAAACCTCTCGCCTACAAGTGAAATGGGTATCACTAGACCACAGTACTAATGTCGCTCTATTTATTTATTTATTTTAATTTTGTAATGAGAGAAATGGGTTCACTAGATCGTAGTACTAACGACTGTCTATTTATTTATTTTAATTTTGCAATGAGTAACCGAGTGAGTGCGGTTGTTTTGGTAATTTCGTCACTTGCCTTCTCCCTTTTAACTGGATTTCGCACGGTCGCATTCTTTTCCCATTGAGCTCCCTCCAATTCTCAAAACCCCCAAACCTAAACCCTAACACCCAAACTCCCTCTCCCTCTCCACACATCAATGGCGGACTTCAACGTCTCACTTGAAAAGGCGAAATTTTTCTTGCAGTCGCAGTATCACGACGAGGAGAAGTGGGCTCTTAACATGGTAATCTCTCAAATACTCTCCTACTTTTCAATTTTGATCGAAGCTTCAAGAATTTGTATCTGGAATATCTTGGTTTTAATTTCTCCTTTGGCTTCAATTTCCGCATAATTTCCTACATATATATGTATATGATTTTGTATGTTTTGTCCATAGGATGTGGGAAAGTTTATATTTGTTTGGATTAGAATTTATAGCTATACAATGACTTGTGATTGCGATTCATGGATGTTCTCGGGACTTCTGTTATGTTGAAATCCTCCAGTGTGTGACAGATATCGTCATCGTGTAATATTTGCGGGATGTGAGTGGCCGGGCAACCAGCTGTATTGCATGATTGATTGGCCACTCGCATCCTGCAGCTTTCGCACAAGATTTATCCCACATTGGAGGAAAAACTTAGTCTGTTATTTGCCTATTGTTACGAAGTTGTTAATGGAAAGCGGGGTTTTCAAGAACAGGGGTTACTAACGGTTCATTTAAGTGTCCTGTAATCAGACTTTCTTAGGTGTTGTGTATTTGAATTGATATCACTAAATGACTAATCAGCGTTGTATGATCATGTCGTGCTTTTTGTTGTTGCGTAAGCTTAATATGTTAGTTTTAGGAACTTTAGAAGTGGAAGAAAATGTGCCTTCTATGTTAGATCAGGAAAGACATGAAATTTAGTTATTAACATTACGGTACATGGATGGGATAATTTCCTAATCGATTTACGATGCCTTTTGCCTATAACGATAGATGTGCTTTTAAGTCATGCGTGTCTCACTGTCTCTTTAATGTTTGATCTTTGTGTGGTGGAAAATTTGTACCTGAGGCCAAACAAAGCTTTTCCTCACATACTTTAGATATGAGGAAAGTTGCCTTGTATATTTTTGGGAACTTTAATGAAAAGCTCTCGGTACTGTTCACTTTAACGAAAAACCATATTTTTACACTAAAAAGTCAATCCTAGTACTATTCACCTTACCTTTTATTTTGTCCTTATCGTTAAAACTCAAAGTTTTCAAGCTCTTTTCATTAGTTTTTCTTATATTTTTAGCCTTGTTATACTGTAGATAAACCTTTCTATTCTTTCGGAACTGCGAGTTTTATTTGCTTTGCATAGATGCTGGATGGTTATCTCACTCATACAAGTCATAAATTCATCTTTTTTTTTTTTTTTTTTAGAAAATGATAAGACAAGAGAATTAAAAGTGTGTTCTCTATCTCGCAGAAATTGCTGCGTGCTGCAGGGCTGTTTGCAGGATCGATTCTGCTAATGAGGAGTTATGGTGATCTGATGGCTATATGAGCTCTACCAATATGTCGTAGGCCATCTTATTTAGCAAGTTCTGTACGGTTCCTTTTGTTGCTTTTGCAGATTTGTTTAGCACTCTGTTAAGTTACAGGGTTTCCCTGTTTACTTTTATCGTGTCGATGTTAGTAACCTAAATGTGTTTCCAAAAACATAAGAATGTGGTTCTATTGGAGAGTTTTTGAGATGAATGAAGTTACTCAACTTTCATATACTGAATGGCTGATTATCGATTGCGTATTCATTTGATTTTCCATGCAACTCATTCACCATTAGACGGTGAAGAGAATTTTTTTGATACAAGCGATATTGGTGGATGAGATTTCGAACACAGAATCTCTGGATGTTATAAGATAGTTTCATCTTAGGGCGTCGGCTTTGGCTTCAATGGGCTTTAGGGTTCGCATTAGGGGTTTGAGTGGTCCGGAGCGCCATTGCAGGTGAGTTTGAAGGTGAAGAACGGATCAATTAGACCCATTGGGTCATTTATTATGGGGCCAATTTACAAATAAGAAAAATAGGTAATCCAAGCGAGTATTTTATCCAATTGAGGGAAAAGATATTTGTCGCATTCCAAGGGAGTCAAACTTCAGATATCTTATTTACATGTATATGAGCGATATTTCTACTTTAAGGGGAGAATGAGGGTTTGGACGTTGAAGAGGATGGTCTTAACCACTAAGGCAGTTCACTATTTACCACCAAATCGTATTGTTAATTGGTGGGTTTCGTATATGCTCTTAGTATCTCAAAAATACTTGCCACCAAATCATATTGTTAATTGGTGGGTTTCGTATATGCTCTTAGTATCTCAATTTTTGCAAACATCTTTTAAAATAGGACTCGTTTGAGATTATTTTTTTAAAATGCACTTTAAGGCTAGAGATGATAAATCAACTCTAGGTTGTTAATGGGTATTCATTTAGTTTGATTTCACCTTACACCGTCATCATCATTACCAATCTCATCTCTATATTACGATGATATCAAATTGAATGGATCTTAACAGGTACTCATTAGCAACTCAATAGATTGATTTGCCACCTTTAGGCTATCAAAAAAGTGTTTTCACCCTTCTAAATACAATTCTAAACAAGACCTTGTGTTCTCCAAAAAAAAAAAAAAAACAAGACCTTGTTCCCCATCGAGTTTTTTGAGTATGAGTCTCCTCTCTTTTTTCCCTCATCTTCTCTTCACTCCTATTTAAACGGTCATGATTAAATCACGTCAATATTTTATATATTAATTTTTTACCAAAATAAAAAATATGGAAGGAGAACAAATAATCCTACTCCCGACTTTTTATCTCCACTTGGCAGCCGTTGGTCCGAGACTCCTTGTGCTCCGGGCCCATGGTGCGAGATCTTGGCCCGCGGCGCATGCAACATGACAGCGGAGCACCGACACAACAACCCCCATGACGTGGTCCGTTCCCGGGGTGCATCACGTGGCCCCTACAACTTGTTGGGGAGTTACGGGACCCGCCTCGCTGACTTGGCACCTTGCTGCCGCATGGCGCACACTTGTCACATCGGATCTGAGAGACAGCGAGAGAGAATCCTCTCAATTCCTCGCCGCGGGTTTTTAATCTGAAAATCATCGATTGTCGAGTTTTTGGTGGTGTGTTTTCGTTGCACAAAATGTTATGATTTATATAATCGTGAATATTATTTGTCCAAAAAAATATATATAATTGTGAATTTTAATTAATTAGTAAAATTATTTTAGAGATTTTAGACTTTTTTCTAATTAGAACTACGCTTTGCGTTTTAACTTGATAATTACTAACATTGCGTGCCTCAATACAAAATTTATATTGCTACATGAAGAAGAAAAGATGTGCGATTTAATTCACAATTTAATATATTAAAGGTATGTTATTGTTGAATGAATAAATGAAACTGGGTTCGATGAAATTTTCAAACTAAAAAGACTTCTTGACCGTTATGCAGTAAATTTGAATTAGGTCAATTGGTCAGACAATTTATTAACATTTTCATACCGTGTTTCACACTTTTTTTTGGGTGTAAATTAGAGATTTTTTTTTAAAATTATGAAAATTAATTAACTTGTCTAAATCTCTTTTTATCGACAAGATTAAATTGAATTGAACGAGTTTGAATTAATTTTTTCCTAAAGAGGTGCAAAAAGGTGTGAACAAATATCTTTAAAAAAGAGTAAGGTTATCCACACTCATTTTTATTTCTTACACACATGGCCCTTTTCAAATTTCGGCCGTCGATCAGATCAAATGAATTAAATAAGATCAATGACAAAAAACTGATAAGAACATGTAAGAGGTAAAAAAATGTGTGTGAATAGCATTATCCCATAAAAAAATAGTGAAACTTCAAGTGGGGATGGCTTTGCTATAGCATTGGGAATTACGAAATGCGTTACAAGTTCCTCTTACACTTCAGACGTACCTCATAACAATGCAAACAAAGCCAACGCAGAAACAATATATCCATACCAACTTCCACTCCTCTTGAAGGAAAACGATTACATAAAGCAGATTTATCGTCATGTAATTAAAGTCTCAATAATGAATTAGCATAGATGAATATTTCTCATAACAAAGCATTATTAGGTCGAAACGTCATGGTAACGATGAATTCGTGTCATATAAGTTGCTCTCATATGAAGGACAAGAATGATTTACATGGCACAAACAACTACCACCGTAGTGTTATGTGCTAGTGAGAGAAAGGTGTGGAAGTTTTGTGTATGAGGTGACGGGTGAACTAGTTTCATATAAGTTGCTCTTAGTTGAAGGACGAGAAAATTTTACATGGCATGTGAAGACTGCCACCGTAGCATTATGTGCTAGTAACGCAAGGAAAATGCTAGGGAGACATGAATATTTTTTTACCACATTCATGTAAATATGATATGGCAAATGATATGTATATGTTATGTCAATTAATGAGATTATTTCATTAAATGTTGATATATATGTGTCAATTGCCACATCATATAGTACCTGAAAAAAAATATATAGTCGCCCTGGCAATAATCCTCTTTTTAAAATTGCACTCAATTATCCTCACAATTACAAGCAAAAATCCATAAGAGAAAGAGGAAAACGCAGAAACAGCTAAGATGAGTTACAGGTGGTGGGAGAGGAGCAAAGTCATGGAGCTGCAAATTGCAAAGGCTGATGAGAGAGAAAGAGAGAGAGGGATGAAAAGAGTTACCGTAGAAAATGTGAACCAGTCTCTTTGCAACACTGTGCTCTCCTCTTGTAACCACGTGGAGATTGAGAAATGCAGCCACTGTAATACCTTCAAGCCCTTTTCCTCACCGATTTCCAATATAAATCCCCCCCCCCTACCCTGCTTCAAATCTCTCACATCAGTTTTGCAGTTCTGTATTTGCAGAGAGAGAGAGAGAAAGAGAGAGAGAAGTTGGTTGCAGGAGCACCAGTCTGTCACAAAACCCTTGTAAGCCTGCCTTTCTGGGTTTTTTTTTTCCATTTCTCTCCCTCTCTCTCTCTCTCTCTCTCTCTCTCTCTCTCTCTCTCTGTGTACATATATATTTCTTTTTTCTTTTTTCTTTTTTCTTTTCTAAAACTTAGTTTAAGATTAAATTCTTAAAAACCCTTGTAATCATATCTGGGTTTGCTTCATCTCTCTCTCTCTTATTTTCTTAAAATTACGGTTAAAGATTGAATTTATAATGGTAATTTCAAAATTCCATGTAACCGTTTATGGGTTTTAAAAATTGGTCAAAGATTAAATTTTGGGGTTTCTGGGTTATCTGAAATTCTCACTCTTTTCATTTTCTTGCTGCATGCAGTTTCAAAACTTGGGTCAAAAATTACATTTTTCGTAGTGTTTTCTGTATCTATAATTTTCTCCTGTCAAAAACCATGCAATCAAAATTTTCATGCCTTGCCCTAACTTTTGCTTTTTCTTGCCGCAGAAGAGGTGGCTTAAACAAATCCTTTTTCAGTCCAATCTGCTGACTTCCTATCTGCAATGGCCGCCGCAAACAGAGACAACCTTTCTCAACCCCACAACGCCGCCATGCTAAATAACATCGCCGATTCCCAGATCCCAGACCTCAACCTGGAATTCTCTCTCGGCGGGATTTACTCCGAGAATTCCAACCAAAGCCCTCTGGACCGGTTCTCCACGGAGGCCAAAGTCTTGAGGCTTCAAGAACCCCAAACGACCCCGCAGATGGCTGCTGCTCCAGTTCGTTCCATACGGCGTCCGAGGGCAAGGTCTCTCCCAAAAGAACCTAGGCTCAGGCGGCCGATCAGGCCCAAGGACGTTCTAGCCTCGAGAAGGCGGGAGACCAAACAGAAGATAGCTCAGAGGCAGATGAGCCAGCAACTAGCTGCTTTGCCGGAGGTGGCTAGGGCTGTAGCAGCTCCGGCAGCTCCAACAGCTCTTGCGGTGTGTAGTGCGTCTCGTGCTTCTATCGGTGCCGGGGCCTCGGATACAGTCTATCATTACAAGGAGGAGGGATATTTCACTGTGTCTCGTGCTGCAGAGGGTAAGCCACACATCAATATTCAAAGCTAATAATTTGTCTATATATGTTCTTTTTTGTTTACCGTTTTAATGTTTAGCTTGAGATTAAGTTGTGATTGCTTGATCTTGTCATACGATTTTTGCATGTTTTTATGTTGAAACAAAAAGATAGTATTTGTTTTTGTGTGTGTGTGTGTGTTTTTATATGATTTTCTGTTTGGTTCAAAGATATATCCACGGTGTGCTGGGTAGCTCAAAGAGGAACTGGTTAACTAGTTGAAAATGAAAGTAGAAAATCCTAATTGTCTTTGGAAGGTCTCTATTGAAAGTATTGGAATTGGTTCATGGAAGAGAATGTTGTGCATTCGGTAGTTATAGGGTTCTTGATACGATTCGGGCATTAGGTAAAATTGATACGATTTGGTAAGTTAGGGTAATTGTATTGGTAATGAGTAATTCTATAAAGAGATCAAATTTTTTGACCATATTTTGTAGACCATATATGATTTGACGGTTAATGTTTAGACTTCTTATCTAAACCATTAAAAAATGAGTCTAACCATCAACTGCCACATCACGTGGTCGACAAAATGGTTTATAAATTTGGTCTCTTTAGCATTTTTCTAGGGTAATTGATACGGTTCGTTAGGGGAAAATTGATATGATTGGGTAGTTAATTAGGGTAATTGATATGATTCGGCAATTAGAATAATTGATAACATTTGGTCGTTAGGGTAATTGATACGATTAAGTGGTTGGTACATTCAAATCGGTCATGAAACGTGTAGCAAAGTGATATAACGACAAGAGAATTTACGGCGTCCACGAGGAAAGATGATCTAGGTTTCTTTTGCTTATGCTTAGTCAACGATGTTAAAGATCACGATGATTGGTGAACACAAGTATCGAATATGGGAAACACTCGAATGCCGACAAAAAATTAGGGCAGACTGTATCCCACAATGAACTAAATGGAAAAATAAAACTAATTAATTGCATATTGAAACATATTAAGTAAAAGTCTATCCAACAACGTATAGACAAAATAATATAACAGCGTTACATATAAACCCAATAAAGAACCTAATCAAAATCAAAATTTTCATCTTTACAGTCCATTTTAGTAATTAATTCAAAAAAAATTCTTATGTAGTGTTGCCTAGTTACGGGTTACATGTATTATTACGCATAATGTGCAAGTGACATTCCAAAACTTTACTGTTATGAAACTTACAAATCACACAAAATAATTCATGTTTTGAGTCTAGGTTAGTTGGTCTCTTGACCATAAAGTAATAGTTTTGATCAATAATTTAGGAATTTCTTCCCCTATATATACTTGCTAGTTTTTTAACTTCCTGTCACCTTCCATTCACCATTGTGACTATAACTTTTCTGACCGTGCTGGATAAAAGAGTTTTTACTAGATCTTAGACGGTTTACCAGCCTAATATGTAAATTTGTTAGATGTATACAGATGTTATAGATCTAGCTACACGCACAGACACTTAAATTGGAGAACCTTGATGAACCTTGATACCTTGAGAGAACATATAGTTTTTATATTCAAATTCTTGTTCAACTATGTTATCTGCATGTTGTTTCTGTGATCATATGTTGAAGTTCGGTTCTTTCTTGTTTTTGACTTGAAAAGTAAAGGATAAAAAACGTGCATGATTTCTCTTAATAAAACTCGTATCCATGTCTCATAAATGTTTATCCAATTTCAAATTAACAAATTATATCTGTGTACAATATCATGATGCATATCGTTCTAGCTTTCCTCAACATCTGTTAAATAAATTGTATTTGCAGAGTCAATTCCAAGTACTCTAAAACCACTCGTTAGAATTTGTATCCCAATTGCTTACAAGAATGCATTCATGACTTTAGCCAAGTCATGTCATTTTATATAGCAACAAGAGCAATAACATTTTGAGACAACTTGCTAGTTTCAGATTCAAATGTACAGAGGATTTGACTTTCTTTGACCTGTGACATTCATCTTCGTATGGTTTTCTTAAATGTACTTTCTTCGTCAAAGATTTGAACTATGTAAATTCCATGCAGGTGCGATAAGTGTTCAGACGTTGCATTCCCAAAGGGATGTTACACCGATAGCCTCCTCTGCAACAGCGACCACTACAAAACAGGCTGTCCCTTCACAAAGTACACCTGAAAATCCCTCAAAGAGGGTCAAACATTCCAGTGGAAGTGTTCCCCAGAATGATGGGGACGAAATGGTTTCAGTGAGAACCACCGGAGAAGGGGGAAGACAGATAGAAGGAATTCTTTATGCTCGCAATGGCCAGGTCCAGATTCTGTGCGTTTGCCATGGCATCTACCACTCACCTGCCGAATTCATTAAGCATGGCGGTGGAAAGGAAGTGGCGAATCCTTTGAAACATATAATCGTCCGCCCTTCTTCTGATTAGGTTGACGATGGTGGTTGTCACCCCTTAGGAATGTAATTGACATCAATTTTCTATACAACAGGATGTTAATTAAAATATTTAAAATCATATGACCAATTAGCTCTAATTTATGATGATGTTTGCTCCGTTACCAGATATATATATAGTCCTTTGTAATTTGTATAAGTGTGGATGTTGAAGCTCATGCACTTGAACATATATATACATAATTAAACTCTTGCCTCTTGATTAGTATAGTTCCGCCAAAGCACTCGGACAATGGATGTTGAGCATACTTCTGATCACCTTGTAACTTGTTGATATTGCAATACCTCCAAAATTCAGCACACCTTGGTTCAAGTGACATTGAATTGATGGATGTCAAGCATATATACCTTCGATCACTTCTAACATGTTACAGATTTTCGGTCTCTTCATAACCTGTTGGCTTTGTACTATGTCCAACTTGAGTTTTTTTAGATTAGGACTTTCCTTTTTATAGTTGGAATATCTTCTATTTTTACTACTCTTCTTTCCTTCAGATCTCATTCATTTAAACTCCTTCAAACAAAATCTCAAGGTTCGATTTCTTCTTGATTGAGTTTTTAATGTTGTGTATCTCGTCTTCCTTTATTTTTTCTTTCCGCTAAAGTTCTAAAACTCTCATAATGATACAATTAGGAAACTTTATCATTTTCAGTTGCTTACTCTTAGATTGTCTTATTTTCATGTGCTATTACCAATTCACTCATGTTATAACAGTTTGATTTATATCCTAATTCATAACAAATTAAGCTTATCGACGATAACACGTGAATTAGTAAACTTACGGAATAATGTACAAAAGTTTCTCATAATAACAAAGTCAAATCATGTTTGGGATTGCTTCTCTAGAAACAACTTCTGTTCATGAGCGCTTTTCTATAAGTGCTCTTGTCATAAATTTATAAACACGTTGAAGTTAAAGTGTTGTCATGAATACTCTAATTTGTGGGAACTGTTATTAGTATATAAAAAAAATTATACACTTGTAAGGAGTATATAATAAAAATTTTGGTACATAAAAGAGCTTATAAATCAATAAAGTGCACTGTGTTGTCCTAATTAACACTCTTCCACCTGAGAGAGAATTGTCTTGGAATAGAGAAACCACAATTGGACTATTCCAATAATCCATGCACATCACCGTGAAACAATAAAAAACAAAACCAGTTCCGCCTAGGGTTTAGTCGTAGTGCCCTACTAAGTAACCAGTTCCCCCTCATCTCCTCTGCATGTGTATGCCCTAAAACAGCAACTCCAATTCAGAGAACCGAGAACTCAACCTGGCCGGGGATCTCTCTCAGCACGGGGGCCACTAATACCGTCTTTCAGTTCAAACCAGAGGGCTGTATCTGGAATAGAGAACGACACAGCAGATATGAGCCATTTTGGTCAGGGCATTTGCCCATGCGTGGTACACTGCCGATGCTGTCTGAGAGGTGCGCAAACACCGAAAACTCCTAGTCTTCTTCAATTTATTATATCCGACGATCAAAAATTAAAAAAAATATGTTAAGTAAAAATAAGTATGCAGATAACACTACTTTTTTAAATATGACTCGATTAGGATTACTTTTCTCAAAAATGCACCTCAGGCTATCAAAAAAGCGTTTTCACCCTTCTAAATGCAAATTCCAAACAAGGCATTGTTTCCCTATTGAGTTTTTATCTACACTTGGCAGCCTTTGGTTCGAGACTCCGAGTGCTCCCGGCGCCTGGCACGAGATCTTGGCCCACCGTGCATGCAGCCTGGGAGATGATTCTCTTCTCTTTTATTCTCTCCTTTTCTCTCGTTTCATTTTCTACTTGAATGGTTATGGTTTAGTTATATTAATATTTTATATTGATTTTTTATAAAGACAATAAAATAAAAAATAATATGTGAAAAGAAGAAAGGAAAGTGGATAAGAATAGAAAGGAAGATGAATCTTCATCTACAGCGAAGCGCACCGACACAACAACCCATGACGTCGTCCGTACCAGGGGTGCAGCACTTGGCCCTACAACTTGCTGGGAGTTACAGGACCCACCTCGCTGACTTGGCACAGCAAGCATGGCCCACACTTGTCACATCGAATCTGAGACACTGAGAGAGATAAGATGGGGAGAGAGAGAGAGATATATCTCTCAATTCCTCGCTGTGGGTTTTAATCTGAATGTCTTCGCCGAGTTTTTAGTGTTGGGTTTCCTTGCACAGGGTGTAATGATTTATATAATTGTGAATTTGAATTAAAGAAAACTAATGAAAATGATTTGAAAATTTTAAGTTTTAACGAAAAGAATAAAAAAAATGATAAAGTAAATAGTACCACGATTGATTTTTTAGTGTAAAAATATGATTTTTCGTTAAAGTAAATAGTACCGAGAGCTTTTCGTTAAAGTTTCCTTCTAATTAATTAGTAAAATGATTTTAGAGACGTTAAATGAGTCAAATACGATTGGAAGCTCTCGTCTTGATCGGTATATAATAAATTTGAGATAGGTCAATTAGTCATACAATTTTTTAGCATTTTCATACGTGTTTCAAATTAATTTTTTTTTTTTGTGTAATTAGACTTTTCTTTTTCTTTTGAAATTTTAAAATCTAATTACCTTGTGAAAAAATTTTCATCGATAAGATTAAATTGAATTGAAAGAGTTTGATTTAAATTTTTTCTAAATAGGTGCAAAAAAGTGTGAGCAAATCTCTTAAAAATAGTGCAATTTCAAGTGGGGATTGCTTTGCTAGAGCATTGCGAATTACGAACTTAAAGGAAAACCATTACGTAAAATGGGTTACGTAGTCGCAATTACGCATTGTCGCAGATAAATATTTTTCATAACAAGATATTATTGGATTGAAACGTTGCATTAACGGTGAACTTGTTTTGTACAAGTTTCTCTCATCTGAAGAACAAGAAAGATTTATATAGCACAAGTAACTTTCACCGTAGCGTTATGTGCTGGTGATGCGTTATGTGCTGGTGATAAAAGGATGTGTGTAAGTTTTTGTCAGCGAATAGTCGTGCATGGTGACGGGTGAACTCATTCTATATAAGTTGCTATTATTTGAAGGACGAGAAAGATTTACATGGGACATGTAGACTACCACCGTAGCATTATGTGCTAGGACACAAGGAAAATGCTAGGAAGACCTGCATATCTTTTTACTAGATTCATGTAAGATCCCACATCATCCAAGGGTGAGGATCCTGTAAGCCTTATATGTATATTCTCATCTCTACCTAACACGAGGCCTTTTTGGAACTCACTGGCTTCGGGTTCCATCGGAATTCCGAAGTTAGGCGAGTTCATGCGAGAGCAATCCCATGATGGGTGACCCACTAGAAAGTTCTCGTGTAAGTTCCCAGAAACAAAACCATGAGGGAGTGGTAGGGCCCAAAATGGACAAATAGTGCTACGGCTCGAGCCCAGGATGTAGTGGGGGGCTCGGGTCGGGATGTGACAATTCAGGTATCATGTGACATGACAAATGTGTATATGTCATGTTAATCAATGCGCTTATCTCATTAAATGTGATTATGTGTCAATTGCCACATCACCTAGTACATAAATGTGGTCAAAAAATCCCTGGCAATAATCCTCAACGTTTTCAAAATTGCCCTAATTTTTCCTCACAATTGCAAACAAAAATCCATAAGAGAAAGAGGAAAACGCAGAAACAGCTAAGATGAGTTACAGGTGGTGGGAAAGGAGCAAAGTCATGGAGCTGCAAATTGCAAATGCTGATGAGAGAGAGAGAGAGAGAGAGATGAAAAGAGTAACCGTAGAAAATGTGAACCATTCTCCTTAATTACAACACTGTGCTCTCCTCTTGTAACCACGTGGGGATTGAGAAATGCAGCAACTGTAACACCTTCAAACCCTTTTCCTCACCGATTTCCAATATATATCTTCCCCACCCAGCTCCAAATTTCTCACATCAGTTTGCATTTCTGTATTTGCAGAGAGTGAGAGAGAGAGAGAGAGAGAGAGAGAGAGAGAGACAATAGTTGGTTGCGGAGCATCAGTCTTGTCACAAAACCCTTGTAAGCCTGCCTTTCTGGGTTTTTTTCCATCTCTCTCTCTCTCTCTCTCTCTCTCTCTCTCTCCCTATATATATATATATGGTTGTCTCTTTTTATTTTTCTAAAACTTAGGTTAAGATTGAATTCTTAATGGTATTTCCAAAAACCCATCTAATCCTTTCTGGGTTTGCTTCATCTCCCTCTCTCTCTCTCTCTCTCTCTCTCTCTCTCTCTCTCTCTCTATCTCTCTCTCTCTCTCTCTCTCATTTTCTAAAAATTCCGGTTAAAGATTGAATTTTTCATGGTAACTTTAAAATCCCATGTAACCGTTTCTGGGTTTTAAAAATTGGGTCAAAGATTAAATTTTGGGGTTTCTGGGTTTTTGAATTTCTCATTCTTCTTCATTTTCTTGCTGCATGCAGTTTCAAAAATTGGGTCACAAACTACATTTTTCATTTTGTTTTCTGTACTTATAATTTATCCTGTCAAAAACCATGCAATCAAAATTTTCATGTTTTGCCCTAACTTTTACTTTTCTTTTTTTTTTTCGTTGCAGAAGAAGCTTAAACAAATCGTTTTTCAGTCCAATCTGCTCAGTTCCTGTCTGCAATGGCCGCCGCAAACAAAGACAACCTTTCTCAACCCAACAACGCCGCCATTCAAAACAACACCGTCGATTCCCAGATCCCGGACCTCAACCTGGAAATCTCTCGCAGCGGAATTTACACCGATAATTCCAACCAAAACCCTCTCGACCGGTCCTCCACGGTGGCCAGGGCGCCGCAGATGGCTTCTGCTCCGATTCGTTCGATACGGCTTCTGAGGGCAAGCTCTCTTCCATCAGAGTCCCGGTTGGCGATCAGGAACAAGGACGTTCCAACAGCTCAGAGGCAGATGAGCCAGCAACCAGCTGCTTTGCCGGAGGTGGCTAGGGCTTTAGCAGCTCCGGCATCTCCAGCAGCTCTGGCGGTGCGTAGTGCGTCTTGTGCTTCTAACGGTGCCGGGGCTTCGGATACAATCTACCATTACAAAGAGGAGGGATATTTCACTGTGTCTCGTGCTGCAGAGGGTATGCCACACATCAAACTTCAAATCTAATAATTTGTCTATGCTCGCTTTTGTTTACCGTTTTAATGTTAAGCTTTAGATTAAGGTGTGATTGTTTGATCTTGTCATATGATTTTTGCAGCATGGTGTTTTCTGTTGAAATAAAAAGATAGTATACGTTTGTGTGTGTTTTTTTTTATATAATTTTCTGTTTTAGTTCGTACTTCGTAGATATATGCATGGTGTGTTATATAGCTAATTAAAGAGGAACTAGTTAACTAGTTGAAAATGAAAGTAGAAAACCCTAATTCTCTGTGGAAGGTCACGATTGAAACTTTTGGAATTGGATCGTGGAAGAGAAAATTAGATAAAATTGTTACGATTTGGTTTTTAGGGTAAAATTGATACGATTTGGTAAGTTAGGGTAATTGATATGATTGGTTGTTAGGTAATTGATACAATTCGTTATGGATGTAATCCTGAACGTGAAGAATGAAAGATAAAAATTGATATGATTGGGTAGTTAGGGTTATTGATACGATTCGGTAGTTAGGGTAATTGATAAAATTTGGTCGTTAGGGTATTTGATATGATTCGGTAGTTGGTACATTCGAATTGGTCATGAAATGTGTAGCAAAATAATATAACAACTAGGGAAGCAAAGACGACAATTTACGGCGCCCACAAGGAAAGATGATCTATAGGTTTCTTTTGCTTATTCAACGATGTTAAAGAAGGCAAGGATTGGTGAACACGCGTATTGAATATGGGAAACATTCGAGTGCCGACAAAAATTAGGTCAAACTTTATCGCATAATGAATCAAATGGAAAAATATAACTAATTAATTGCGTATTAATAGAAATTAAATAAAAGTCTATCCGACAACGTATCGAAAAAATAATAGAGTTACATATAAGACCAATAGAAGCTAATCAAAATCAAAATTTTCATCTTTACAGTCCATTTTAGTCGTATCCAGTGCACAAGGCTTCCGCTTTACGCATGGTCTAGGAGAGGTGAATGTCGGCTAGCCTTACCCCCATTTATGGAGAGGCTGCTCCCAACTTACAGTCCATTTAGTAATTAAGTAAAAAAAAATTCTTATGTAGTGTTGCCTAGTTACGGGTTAAGTGTGTTATTACACATAATGTGTAAGTGACATTCCAAAACTTTACTGTTATGGAAACTTACAATTTACACAAAATATAGTTCATGTTTTGAGTCGGAGTTAGTTGGTCTCTTCACCATAAAGTAATAGTTTTGATCAACAGTTTAGGAATTCCTTCCCCTGTATATATGTACTTGCTGGTTTTTTAACTTCCGGTTCAGCATTGTGACTATAACTTTTTTGACCATGCTTGATAAAAGAGTTTTGTTGTTCTTCTCTCTTCATTTTTGGAATATTAGTTTGTAGCAGTCTCGTCTTAGAAATCTCAAAGTTTCATTGTGGCAAATCTGTTGATATCTTTAGATTCAAATAGATCCAGAAAAATATAGTTTTCCTTCAGTTCAGGTGGGTTTGGGATATAGATCTGAGCCGGTTTATCAACCTAATATGCCAATTTCTGAAGTGGAAACATCGATTTATCAGCCTAATATGTAAATTTATTAGATTTATACAGAATTTATAGATCTACACGCACAGACACATAATTAAACTGGAGAACCTTGAAACCTTGATACCTTGAGACAACATATAAGCTTTTATATTCAAATTCCTGCTCAACTATGTTATCTGCATGTTGTTTCTGTGATCATATATATGTTGGAGTTCGGTTCTTTCTTGTTTTTGACTTGAAACGTAAAGGGTAAAGAACGTGCATGATTGATTGATTTCTCTTAATATATAAAACTCGTATCCACGTCTCATAAATGTTTATCCAATTTCAAATCAACAAAATCTGTGTACAATATCATGATGCATATCGTTTCAGATTGAGACAACTTGCTAGTTTCAGATTGAAACGTATAGAGGATTTGACTTTCATTGACCTGTGATTTGAACTTGTCTAAATTCCATGCAGGTGCGATAAGTGTTCAGACGTTGCATTCCCAAAGGAATGTTACACCAGTAGCCTCGTCTGTAACAGCGGCCACTACAGAAGAGGTTGGCCCTTCACAAAGTACACCAAAGAGGGTCAAACATTCCACTGGAAGTGTTCCCCAGAATGATGGGGACGACATGGTTTCAGTGAGAACCACTGGAGAAGGGGGAAGACAGATAGAAGGAATATTGTATGCCCGTGATGGCGAGGTCCACATTTTGTGTGTCTGTCACGGCCTCTTCCACTCCCCTGCCGAATTCATTAAGCATGGCGGTGGAAAGGAAGTCGCCAATCCTTTGCGGCATATATTTGTCCGCCCTTCTTCTGATTAGGTTGACGGTGGTGGCTCCGTCACCCCTTAGGAATGTAACTGATATCAACGTTTTAATGAACAGAATGTTAATTAACATATTAGCACCCTCATTTGAGCAGTTACTTTAATTTTATGATGATTTGTACTCCGTATATTACAATATATATAGTCCTTTGTATAGGTGTGGTTGTTGAAGCTTATGCATTTGGACATATACAAGAACTCTTGCCTCTTGATTAGTATACTTCCGCCAAAGCACTCGGGCAATGGATATCGAGTGGACTTCTGATCACCTTGTAACTTGTCGATTTTGTGATACCTCCAAAGTTCAGCACCTCTTAGTTCATGGGACATTGAATTTATGATGTGAAGCATGTATACCTTGGATCCCCTCCTAACTTGTTACAGATTTTCGGTCTCTTCATAACTTGTTGGCTTTGTACTATGTCCAACTTGAGTTTGATTGGGTTATTAGGGCTTTCCTTTTTATAGTTGGATTCTCTTCTATTTTTTCTACTCTCCTTTCCTTTAGATCTCATTCATTTAAACTCCATTAAACAAAATCTCAAGGTTCTATTTCTTCTTTACTGGGTTTTTAATGCTGTGGATCTCTTCTTCCTTTCTTTTTGCTTTCCACCAAAGTTCTAAAACTCTCTTAATCTTTACAAGTAGGAAACTTTATCATTCGATTTGGTTCGGTTTGGGAACTAAAATAATTGAACCATTTGATTTTGGTTCAATTCGATTGCAAACGTTTTTTGTTGCAGTTTGGGCCTAACTTATAGTCCTGTTAAAAAATTTACCTTACCTTACAAGCCTGTTTCGGTTTGGGGTTCCCAATTTTTGTTATTTCGTTTTTATAATTTTTTCAGTTTGTTTTGGCTCCTAAACAGGGAAGGGACAATTTACAGTTTGTAAAACCAAAATTGATAACTACCGTACTAAAATTCAAGGAAATCTCTTGGTTTGTTTCCAAATCAAAAGGGAAACACAAATTCCAGCAACTAATAACCACTATACTAAAATTCAAGTATCCAAATCAAAAATCACGTATGAACTCCACCAAATAACCGACTACAACCCCAGCACTTAATTTGCTAATTATTAAATTAAATGTTGTTTATATTAGGAAGTTCGGTTCTAAATATTAAGATCCAAAACAAAACCGTTATTTTAGCTTTCGGTCCAATTTGTCTATGTTTCGGTTTCGGTTTCGGTTTCGGTATCTATCACTGGGCCACATGTATTTTCTTCACATGAATGATCCTTAATGCGAAAATGACATTATAATATTAGGTAAGTCATTCTTGTTTCACATACTAACATCACAAGACAATATAATTTAAAAAAGGGTTTTTGAACTTTAACCCTTCAAGAAGATTAAAATTTAATAAGAACCTGGTGTTAGATTGGATATTGATTTTAGTCCCTTAATGTGTACTTAATTCAAATTCATATTATATATTTTTTTAATATTTAATAGATATCTTATTTAATGTCATTACATTAAATTTTAAATTTATTATCATACACATTTTAATTCATTAATTTTATTTAAGTTCTTCTAATTAGTGTACCTAAACGTCCGTATCATAATATATTTTACTAACTTAGTATACTGAAATATCCGTAACTAAATATATTGTAATGAATTAGTGGCACATAAGAAAACATGCAAAAACATAAGTGCACCAAAAATTTCGTACCTAACTATATGATACTAAACTAGTGTACCAAAATGTCGGTACCTAAATATATTATACTAAACTAAACTAGTGTACCTAAATGTCCGTATCTAAACATATTCTACTAACCCAATGTACTGAAATGTTCGTACCTAAATATATTGTAATGAATTAGTGGCACATAAGAAAATATGCACAAACATAAGTGTATCGAAAAATCTCTACGAAAATATTTTTTTATATAAGATACTCACCATAATAATGAGAATTAAAATTTATAATATTTTCATAAAATGTAATTTAAGAACACCATAAAATTATAAATAAAAAAGAAAGACATTGAATACATATGCTGGCATTAAAAAGAGTCTAGGGACTAAAATCAATTTTTAGTCTTGTATAAGACATTTTTTTTTAACTTCATCTTAATTAGGAATTAAAATCGAATTTTCTATAAATTTAACATAAATTATAAAACATAGATTTAAATTTAACAAAGTCAATTCTAGTACTAATGAAAAGGGCTTGAAAATTTTGAGTTTTAACGATAATGACAAAATAAAGAGTAAAATAAATAGTACCAGAATTGACTTTGTAATGTAAAAATATGATTTTTCGAAAAAAAAAAACCCTTTAAAATACAGTCATTTTAGTGTCTCCGTTCTATTCTCCGTCCCACATTGTCAATGTCCAAACGGAAGTATATATCACGACGCGTACGACAGGTCACCATTCAGTCAACGCCAATTGGTCGCTGCGTTAACTTGCAATTCAATCATTCAAAACTCTGTATTCCTTAAGATGACCGGCAACTGTCGAAAACCAAAAAACCCAATCACCACCCTCCATGTGTCCATCCAACAAGTCCCGCCAGTATTGCAGTCGAATACGAAAGGGTAGTGTTATTCACACATCCCATTTTACCTTTCACACACCCTTGTTAAATTTTTGTTCATTGATCTTCTTCAATTCATTCGATTCAACGGCCGGAAATTAAGAAGGTTATGTGAGAGGTAAAAATGGATGTGTAGATAGCACCACCTATACGTAAATATCCGAAATTGTTGATATTTCCGTCTGGAAAATTAAAGATCAATATGAAAGTGGGCCAAATGAAAACTCACCCTATGTCGGAGAGATATAGAAAAACAATGAACATCGTTGATATTTATCAACTCACTACAAAAAAATTTGTCAAAAAAACTCATTGCAGATTTCAAACTTTTGAATTTTTTTTTAAAATTGATTCTCTAATTTAGACTCAATCTGAATGAGTTAGATACATCCATCCATTACTAATTCAGTCGAAAACAACTGATATCGATCCATAAATTTGCGATTGAATTTGTCCATGTTACTCCTAAAATTTTTAGTTTATATAAAGACATAAATTAATTTTTTTAAAATCAGTTTCCCGGTGAAATCCCATCTGTCGGAGGGAATATCCTTGGTTTACAGCCAGATCCACGGCGCCAAATTCTCTGGTCCCTCCTTGCTATAAAACTCTCGGTCGCACAGGATTTCACCGCCTTAGGAAAAAAAAAGCTCTGCAGCTTATTGATTCATTTAGTTCGTCAAGAAGCTCAGGAAACACAGTAGGAACTAGGCAGAGAGAGAGAAGCTCTGGGAAAACGCCATGGCTTCCTCACACTGTAAGCTAACAACCTAACTTTACTCCAAAGATTAATTTTTTGCTTCAGTTTTAGTCCTTTTTTCTTGTGATGGTGTGATTTTTTCAATGTTTGTATGTGAATGATTGCTGGGTTTTTTTTTATTCCAGTTGTGTAGAAATTAAGCTGCAAATTGGCTCCAAAGATTGAAATTTTTGCTCCTTTAGAGTTTTAATTGTTGATCGTGTAAGTTTTTCAATATCTGTATGTGAATGCATGATTACTCAATTTTGTAGAAATTAAGCTGCAAAATTGGCTCCAAAGATTGAACATTTTGCTCTTTTTTTAGAGTTTTAATTGTTGATGTGATTTTTTCAATGTTTTTATGAATGATTACTGGGTTTTGTTGAATTTTGTAAAAAGTCGGATTCTTTGTTTCTTTGGTGGTGGTTGATGTGCTTCTGATATTGGTTTTCTGTCTTGTTTGCCCCTGGCAATTGCTTATCTGGGTGACCGGGTCTGTTTGATTAGTTTGACTGGCACACCCCGATCCGGATGTCCAGGTGAACACCGGAATTCGAGGAGTGCTGGCCGACACCAAAAGTCGGGTGTCCAGGTGGACTTTCCGCGTCGGGGGGAAGCTTGCATTTAATTTGTTTGAACCAAATTTGGTGATTTTTGGAGGATATTTTTCAGTTTTGCAGTTCTGGGAAATTGATATTTAGTTGAAATATGCCTTGAGTGTTTCCTAATTTAGCAAAATTTTTTGATGTAGGGGTAATGTCAGGTTGTTTTTTTAATACTATTTATAAGTAGGCGTTTTTAGTTGAATGAGCCAATTGGTTTCTAAATATGGGAAGGCACAGGTTAGTTTGTAGCGCAAATGGCGATGATATTATTTCGGTTTGTATGTATGATAATGGTGTAGTGTTAAGACTCATAAGTTGGATGCCAATCTAAATTAGTAAGACTCATAAGTTGTACGTGACAGGCTTTGCACCTCTTGTGTTCCTACTGCTCCTTGTTGGGTGTTCCGGAAGGCCAATCGATCCGCATGCCACCAATAGACAGCCTCTACAGACTTCTCGTCCATACAACATTGCTCATCGAGGTTCAAATGGAGAGATTCCTGAAGAAACTGCTGCTGCATACATAGTAATAATTCACTAAATATGGGCATAGTTAAATATTGTATGCGTTTCATTAAACTTCATTCACTTGATGAAAAGCTGTTCCCGGTACGTGGGTACTAAAACATTCATTCTTGCAGAGAGCTATTGAAGAGGGTGCAGACTTCATTGAAACGGATATCCTATCTTCCAAAGATGGTGTTCTTATATGCTTTCATGATGTGACCCTTGATGATACAACTGATGTTGCCGAACACAAGGAGTTTGCAGATCGTAAAAGAACCTATGAAGTTCAAGGGTTCAACACTACCGGTTTTTTTACTGGTATGTGAAGCCCTTCTGCTTGCAACACTTTTTTAAATCGTTAGTCTCACTGAACATTGAACGCATTGTGTTGATGGGTATCTTTGTACATCCCATCTTCTAAGTGACGGTTGAACACTCAAGTGATAAGTTTTGTTAGTTTACCACAACTCCCAAAATTCTTATACTTCTATCTTTACTTTTTGTGATGTCTTTGTCGCCAACTGCGAAATTAAAAGTTACTTTAACCTGTATGCAGTTGATTTTACACTAAAAGAACTGAAGTCATTACGAGTGAAGCAGAGATACTCATTTCGGGATCAACAATATAATGGTGAGTACCTATCTCGGCAAATAACTCTTAATTTTAGCATGCATCTTTCATTACTTTCTGTTACTGACTAT